TGTAGGTCCAAGCAGGGGCTCTGCGGGCACCAAACACATCCCTGTTGACTCAAACTAAAGTGTTTCAGAAGGAAAAGGCATCCCTGCAATCCCAGAAGATGCAAAGCGCTGCTCCAGTCACCCCTTTCAAATCTGCTCCTCAGCATTCCCCAGAGCCCAAGGTAACCCTGCCCTGTTTGGTTTCATGAAAAGCCAGGGCTTTATTAAATAAATGCTGCCTCCTGTTTTCCCTGTACCCTCAAACTTACCCCACAGACAGAGTTAGGGTGGGCCTGGTAATCAGTGCTGACAGGCAATGTTCTTGTCTATGCTTCCACACTCTATCCCCCCACCTTAGATGACCTGGAGAAATTTACTGAAGGCAGTGACCCCCTGTGGATGCAGTCAGCTGAGATTGTTCTGCATGCCCTTAAAGCAGGGGTCCAAATTTGTGGCTCATTATGCAAGGGAATTCTGTCATCTGACTGCCAGTGTTCAATGGAATCAGGCCTCCCAACTCTTCAATTTCCACTGGGGACTGAATGATGGGTTAAAAGATGAGATGGTGAGGATTGAGGCCCTTGCATAAGTGGATCTATTAATGGACCTGTGCATTTACATAGACCCATGACTGCCAGGAGGATAGAGTGGGTGGAAACCCGCACTGAGGTCCCTTCACTCCTACCCCATGATTCTCAGTCACTCCCAGTAGATCAGGCAACTGAGCCTATGTAGGTGGGTATAGTGCAGCCACACCTATCTGAGACAGAAAGGAGCTATGACATCATATTACTTTTTGGTCTGCACAATGCCCCCACTACTTTCCAACATTTTGTAAATGATATCTTTCAGGATGCCGTGGATCAGTTTGTCATAATTTACTTGGATGATGCTGATGATTTTTCCTGATACACGGGAATTACATGACCAACACATTTTGTATTGGAAACATTGAGGCACCAAGGTCTCTATACCAAATTTGAAAAATGTGAGTTTGACAGGATCACCATTGAGTTTCTGAGTTATATCATCTCCCCAAAGGGGCTAAGAACGGACCCACAGAGGGTGGCTTCAGTGACCAAGTTCTGCCCTCCTGACCTGTGGGATGTATGAGGAATGCAGTGGTTCCTGGGATTTGCAAACTTCTATAGATGTTTTATCAAGGGCTTCTCCAAGCTTTTGTGCTCATCACCTCTCTGCTTTTGAAGGTGGTACAATTTGCATGGACCCAAAAGGCTCCCTAGGCTCCCAGCTCATTCTTCCTGTGTACCTGGTGTGACATCAGCCCAAGTATCTAATTGGGGTAGCCAGGCCTCCAGCCTTTTTCTCTTCACCAATGCATTTAAAAGAACCCTCTCAATCTAGCCGGTGAAGCCAGATGTTTAATCTTTCCTGCTTACCTGACCAAAACCAGTTTCTTCTTTCCAGTACACAGCAGGGGGTGTGCTACACAAAAGGGGCTTTCCTGCCTACACGCCAGCACGTTTCTCTTCTCAAATTAACAAACAGGCAAGATACAACAGATATGACCAAATATACATATAGCACATATAAAACGTAATCATATTTTGAAACTAGAACACCTTTGTAGTACTGCATGGCTTGTATCTTTTTGTGTGGGTTACACTTAGATTACAAACCCTTCCTGGAAAGAAACATGCTACCCCTGCCACGCATCACAGTCCAGAGGCATGATGAATATGTGGTATGGCAGGTTCTGGACTCCAAGCAAACGCAGGGAAAACTATTTTATTTGGTAGATGAGGAGGGATATGGCCCAGCAGACAGATATCAGGAGTCCCAGGACAATGTTCACACCCCTGATTTAGAGATTTTCATTTGGCGTATCCAGGAAAGTCTGTAGTGAGTCTTTTAAGGTGCATTTCTACCTGGCCTTCTGCCTGACTTCAGACTAACATGGCTTTTGGCTAACTACCTCTCTCTGCTTTAAATCAGAGAACAATTTATACAGCCCCCCCATTGAAAATAAATGAAGAAAAAATTCTGAAAATTCAAATACACTAGAAAACAGGCAGTTTACCCAATATTAGAACACAGCCTTGAACTACGGTGTTGCTGCCAGGAAGCAGTGTAACCCTAGGCAAAATGTATTCAGATAAATGTGATTTTCATGTAAGATAACAATATCCCTTTAATACAGATTATCCTGTGTTTTTAACATATATGTGCTTGGTAAAATTACAGCAATGACATTTATTCTCAATCTGGAATTGAAACACTGTAATTAAAATAGATAACGGGTTCCTTCTGCTTTCTATTTCCTTTAAAAAGATGTGTTGCTCTAAGTTGTAAAGTTCATGCAAGCATGGAAGCATTTCTCATGTTGGGCTAAATGTAATACTTGGTGTGAGCAGCGAATTCAAGGAAGTTACGGAAGAGAACATTTAGTCCTTTGTTTTCAGTTTTGAGTAAAAGGTCTTTAAATTAAACTGTTCAGCCGTGTTACGCAATACAGAACCCCAGTCACCTGATTACTCCTGGGTTTTTTGTTTTTAAGCTCAGAACTTGTGCTTCTAGTTTTTCTTTGCAAATTCAACAAAGGCAACTTTTTCCTTTCTTCAAGACAATAATATAGTCAATTATTAAATTGCACATTTCTCTCTATACTGCCACGCTATTCACCTGTCTTTGAAACATAAAACCACAGAAGTCAGAAGTACTTACTGGGAACGTGGACATGTTCACTAATGCGCTTTTGCTACTGTGCATTACACTTCGTGACTCTAATGTGAGGTACTAACTAAATGCACATTAGGCTGCCCTAATGTGCAACAGTGAAAGCACTCACTTTTTAGTGACAATGCGCAGTTGCTTAATTTTACTGCACTTTAGTGTATTAGCACTTATTAGGAGGTGGCTTTAATCCCTACAACAACCTAATTTTACTTATCCCATGTGATGGGGTTTCTAAGACTTCCCATGGAAACTATTCTAAGCCAAATCATTCTGATTTGCAAGATTTATACAGACCAAATTTATCCTCACGGTTCAAATTAGTATTGTTTTTCTTGTAAGGTTTTGCGTATCAGTGAGGTATAGTCACTATGTCTCTTGCTAAAAGCTTTTCTGGCCCTGTCCAACTCTGCCCCACTCAACTGTGGTATCTGGGCAGGGATTTACATCATTTAGCTTTACATAAATTAGTAAAAGTATGGTATATTTTTGCATTACTGTGTTATAATTGTCCATTTAACATAATTATTGAAAAATAGTCACCTGCTGTTGAACTGTGAACTATGTACAGATGTTTCCTCTCTGCAGCAGTGCTTTCAGATGTCTCATTAACATCCATCTATCTTTTCAGTAAGGTGGGGTCATTCTGAAATAGGAAAGACCTTAAATTCTCAGTACAACAGAAGTGTATTAAGTGATTTGGATATATGATTGTTAAGCATTCAGAGTCATATCTGTGTCAGTTTTACAAATAGACACGACAAACATATTGTTTCATTTTTCTTTATGAGTATTATAGAAAAAGATGGTGTATTTATGCCATGTGATATAATTGGAAAGGATGGTTATTTATAGCTAGCGTATCTTGCATTTTGCAACACCCTGCAGGATTTTCATTGGACTAATCTTAATCTTTGGTTTGCTCTTCAGAACGAATGCTTCTGATATGAGGCTACTTAACAGGAAGCATGACCTCATTCTGCCTCATTGGTTCTGATTGCACAGTATGTTTTCAAAAGGAAACGGAGGACTTGATAGTCCTGCCTTTCTGAAGACTTCAGAATAGTTCTGTTCCAGGAAGCTGCACAAAGAGCAAGTTGCACCGTGATGAAAAACTTTTTGCATACGTTTGTTAGTCTTTAACAAAGTGGAGTGTTGAGGTTTGGAATATTTTACACATTTATGTTTTGATCGTTCTCTGAACTGACAGATAGCTAAACCCTGGATTTCTTCATTTACGGTCAACTCTTCAAGAAACTTTGCATTTTCTTCTGAATGCTTTTATCACTACCAGCAGATAGAAAAGAGTAAAATACTCTTTTAAGAAATGACACACATGAACAAGTAAATTATTTCTCAGATATTTCTTATCTCTTGAAGATATGAGAAAAATATTGGTATTTGGACTCATAAAATGTTAATGGCTAGTGAGTTGTTTTGGTAGATGCCAGTGTAAATATTTACATTGCAGAGTGCAACATGCACAGAAGTTTAGTTGCCTATGGATTGAGGGCATAATGGGTTTGCAAATTAGTTAATTTATCAGTAAGAGTGATGATTAAAACAAATTGTTTTGGACCATGCATGTTTTTGTGCGTTATGAGTAGAAAGACTGGATTTTTCATGCTCCGATTCAAGTGATTCCAAAATATAGAATTGGGGAATGCTGTTGATTCATAGATATTTTATTCGAGTAATTGCTATTAAATGCTGCTAATATTCATTTGTTTTGCTTTTATCTTGGATACATTGTTTGCTCATAGTTCATCTTTTGTCATGTGTTAATTTAAAGGTTCTCTGTTGAACTAGAGGCCATGTTGCATTTGATGTTTTGGATCACAAATACAATTGTTTTACATTAAAATAACTGGAAAGTGAAAATTAAGATATTTTGTTCTGTAGCTAATACCATTGGAGTTTCAGTTCTGAATAAATGAAGAAAAGTGAAACCCAGTAGAGCATGCATACTTCCTCTAGTTTTTGTAAATAATGATAGACGTTGATCTAGTTATGATTGCCAAAAGTCCAGAATACTAATGAGTCAACGTTTGCAAATTAATAATTTACATATGATAATGTAAACAGACAATTTGGTTTACTGAACTATTTGTTAATGACCTGATGGGCTTTTATAAACCTGACATTAACTTTACTTGATACAATTTGAAATTGAAAAAGCAATTCTGTATAAATTAATTGCACAGAAAAACACATTGCTTTGTAAATGTCAAATGATTTTAAGCTTTTCTTGAAGATAAGCATAAATGATAGAATATTCCCTATCTCTTCTGGTTTTTCTGTGTTCATATGTTTCTCCTTCATTTCGTATTGTAAGCAGATTTATAGTATTGCCTCATGCTGTTAAAAAGAGCTGTTGTGTCCACTTTAAGTTTTCCTGCATATCATTGTTGGATGATGTAATCCCTATCATAGTAAGTCTCTTGTGTTTGCAGGACTAAGACAACTTCCCTGAGTAAAGCTACTAACATGTATTTGCTCAGTAGGAATCATAGTCTGTACATCACTTTATATACTGCACTGCAGTACTTCCTAATGAAAGCACTATTCATATGTAAGCTGTTATATATAAACTTTATTTCTCATTTAGTGCTTGTTTTATGTTCTAATGAGACAATGGCATATTGTGAAGAAAATAAAGTACATGCATTACTGCATTTAGAACAACCATAAGTCCAAGCACACTATATTGCATTGATTTAAATACTATGAAAGAGGATGCATTATCAGATTATAGAGATTGCAGTTGACCAAAGGGATTTTAGGCCTGGTTCTGCACTCCTTATTCAACCAAGTTGGCATGGAAATTAATGAGTTTCACTTCACTTTGAATAAATATCCACTTTCTTTTTCAAAGCTTTTGCAGGTCATCTGAAATACCCGGAGTCCCAAAGGGTATGCAGTACGCCTTTTCAAGATGTATCAAATATCTCATCTAATGTCAACACCAACAGCAAGTAAATGTATGATTCCCTCCACCTCAGGACTTACTGCTTAGATTGTATATTTTGAGTTATTACTGAGATCTAATAAGAACCTGTCAGGATACATACTCTTTTTACAACAGAGGTTGCCCTTTAAAATGAATATGCATTTCCTCCTTTGAAAGTAAGTTTTTCCCATTGGTTGAAAAGTCATCATTTTTTAAAATAAAATCAGTAGAGAAAAGAGTACTTCAGTAGCTGTTAATACGCATAAAATACAAATTGATGTGTAAAACTGAATTCTGAGCAACATGCCTCCGACACATGTCTGTATAAATAGCTGACTGATGTTTTGGCAGTACCCCTGTAGTTTAGTTGCTGTACTAATGGAAGCTTCTGCCAGCTGCCATCCCAAAATGTTCTGATCTTTCCTTTGCTTCACCTTGTCCAATAAACTTAAACCCCATTTTAGACCTATTTCTTTCCATTGATGAATGCCTTGCATAACTTCAGCATGAGATGCTGAGCATAATGCTTTGGGGGTTTGCACTGCCTGAGTGGGAGTTGATCCTAGTTCCATATTCTCCTATGATCATTATTCTTAAATGTTTGCCATTATCAGCATCCTTGCTCATGCTGTGCCACATCTGCAGATGTCCCTTGCATAATATACCATGTAGTGGCAATAGTGTGTCTCTTTAATGCCACCGAGAAATCACAGTCAGAAAACTCCAACACTGTTGTTCAAATGAATCAGTGCATATGCTGTTCACAGTGAATCAGGCACCCAAAATTACACCATTAAAATGTACCTCTTGCTTTGTGTAAGCCTGGATTTTTCTTCCCACAAGACATTAAAGTGTGCAGAGCAGTAGTACTGGCAGGCATGGACTGTACAAAGTCTTGAATTTCTGCCGCTTTTGTTGAAATGATGCAATCCAAGTCTGAGTTGCATTAGGATTCATTTTATCTATCCACAGTCATTCTGATTTCTCTCCTTAGGTCTCTTTTCCTTCCCTTTTAAAGGAGTGAAAAAAACAAACAACCCCCAGCCCCCCAAAAAAACCCCACAAACTTTCTTTAAGGCAATAGTTCTTAACTTTTTTGGATTTGATACATCCTTCACAGGACTCAAAACAACTCTCCCTAATTTTTGTGAATTGAGTGGCACCCAATTTCAAAAGCTAGTTTATATTCCTTTCCTTCTTACACAGGGGCTGGACAGTAGGGATGGGGGATTGTGCTGACAGCAACAAGCCTGAGCCTGGCTTATCTGCCTATCTCCTTTTAGCTTGCAGGACCCTTGAAAGGATCTGGCAGCACTCCAGGGTGCCCCAGAATCCTAACGAGGAATCACTGCTCTAAGGCTTATTAAAAGTGAAAAACAGTCAGCTAGTCCAGCTATCACTGGACATGCCTGTGTAAATGCACTTAGGCTGGGATTTCTCCTTATCTCGTCTTTATCCCAACAGGTTCTTCAGAGTCTGATCAAGAAGAGCACGGGCAAAGAGTGTCCCCTGGACACATCTTGCCAAGGTACTGAGTAAAAAGATCTTTGTTCCATTTCATTTCTCCTTTGTGTTTGAAAATCATTCTTTTTAATTCCCATTTGAGACTGAGGTGCCAATACTAGTCTAAAACTATGACCACCTTGCACTTAATGCATATGCTGCTCTCTGTGGCCACTTGAAACTTCACAGTTGTAGTAGACACATATAATTCGGATATTGTTGGACCCGTGAGCTGAAGTAGAATTTCCATTGTGTGATTGCAACATAGGGGATGCAACACAGATGCTGTAATTAAATCCAAGAGAGGGCAGTGGTACATGAGTACTCCAGGTAATTTAATAGCATCCTCTTTTTCTTTGGTCAAAATTCTTTTAAAACTGGATCTCTTCTGGGATCTGTCATTGAACTGTGGCCTTGTACTATGTAGGCATTCACTTACCTAGATTTGTTTTCTTTCCTTCTCAGTTATGCTTATAGCTTTCTGGATAATGAAACGTCCTATGAATGTTGTTCAATAAACCCCTTGACCGGCTCTCTCTTCACGTGTCGCCGGAGTCCTCGGCTTCTGGCTAATGGCTATTACGTTTTGACTGAAGACAGTTTTCTGGCAGATGAAGATGGCAACATAACGTTGACTCCATCGCAGACAAGTATAACCTACAAGGAAAACTTAGTGAGGTAAGTGAACTACATGTCTTCAATATTGGGAATTGGCTCCAATTCTGAGCTCAGCTCGAGTCAGAATATATTTATAATGATCTGTTATATTTAACTTTTCTTTATTTTTACACCAATCACTTCCATTTTTACAACTGCAACAGAACCCTCCAACCAAAGTAATTCAGAAAAATTATAGTGGTTGAAGACACTTGACTCTCATAGTCGTGCCTTTAACATTGCCAAAAAGTAACCGCACAGGTATTACTGACAGTAAATATAAAAGAAAAATAGAACTACCCCAAAATTACTGCTTTTCATGCCTTGCTGCTTCTTATTTACTTAGTTTTCCAAAAGTGTTACTCTTGTGTGCACAGAAAAATAAGAGAGAGCCTGAAAGTGGGTATAATAATAATATTTTAAGGAACAAGATTTGGGTGGTTGGCTAACCTACAAAATACAGTAATTTCTATGCTAAAATGTGGTGAACATGTAATTTTCAGTGAGTCAATATAAAAGTTTTGCTTAAGTAAAGCGTGAGCAAAAACTGAATATAATTACAGTATTTGGTCCAATAAATGGACCCTATTGTGCATATTGAAGGCCCCAAATGATGCTTACTAGAAAACATATATTATTTGATGTGAAACGTCCACCTTAGTCTGCATAACCCCTTTCATTTTCACTATTTCACTGCTACAGCTTGAAAGATTGAGAGTAATCTTTGAGCCATTTTTGGCATAACCATACCAAGTAAGTATGTAACACATATCTTTGATGCTCAGTTGCAATTGAAAATTTCCTGAGCTGCTTCTCTGGGTATGCACCTTCCTACTAATGCAATAAGAATGCTAGAGAATAAACAAAAAGCTTCTGTTTTCAGAAAGACACCAAAATACACAATTTGCCAAAGGAAGAAAGACTAGAGAGAGAGAGAAATAATATTTTCATGCTTTCAAGAAGCATTACTGTAACAGAAAGTAGACAGAAATTTTAAAATACTGTCCTGAAATCTTTATTCAAGCAAAACTTCCATTTTTCTTCAACTGAAGTGTTACCTGAGCAAGTTCCAATTCCATAATGTCATTGCAGCTAATATTGTTCATTTGAGGATCCAAAGGCAGTTTTAAAACAATTAATTAATTGCAACACCCCAGGGAAAGTGGCAAGCATTTTTGGACCCATTTTAAAAGTGGGAAACTTCCATAGGGAAAGGTAATGTGTGTCTCTCTGGCATGAGGGTAGTGCTTATTAGGGGTATGCAAAGCAGGCCCTATTCAATTTGGATTCACCCCAAATCAGGGACAGTGATTTGATTCCAAACACCAGGCTGGCTTCCAAACTAGAAGTAGTGTCATGGGATGGGATCCCTAAGGATGGCCATGTTACCCCTAAGGCCCCTTGACCGTGCCAATTCAGCCTGATGAGCACCCTTTATTCTCGCCCACCATATCTTGATATATTTTTGTAATATAGCCTTCACATCCTGTTGGACACAGTCTTGATGGATTTTCCTGAACCCCATGAGTCCCATTTCAAAATAGGTGTCCTGGGACACCCCAGCCTTATGGGTTATATGCGTGACTCCAACCGCCCCTTTACCATGCCCCAAGCCTCACAGATGGTACCGATGTTGTCCGGTCTAGGCCTTGTTGTAATTTGGCCCCCTTGTCCTCCCTGGGCTCTCCGCAGCCCCGTCTTGCTCTACACCTCGCTGGTGCCTGGGCTCTCCACAGCCTTGCCTCGTTCTGCGCCTCTCTGGCGCTAAGGCCTGTGCACCCCAAATGCCGCGCCCTCTCTGGCACCGGGGTCCCCACGCTGCAGTGAGCCCCCAATGAAGCCTCCTCCTTCCCCAAATAGTCTCACCCAAACCATCGGTGTTATAAACAGAAATCCACATGCAAGCCCCAAGGCTATAACATAACTCAAGCTGCCCGGCTATGACATAATTCCAGTCGCACAGAGCATGCTCTGTCCCTCAAGAGTACCAGAAGCTGCACTTGCAGTTAGTCCTCTCCCTTTTGCATCCTCTGGGAGAGCTCCTTCCCCCTTGGCTGCTGGGAGAGAAGTGCCTTCCTGGCCTCAGGCCTGAGGTTTATATACGAACCAGGCCCTGCCCCTTCTGGTCAGCTGAGTGCTGGCAGGTGTGGGCCAACTAACTCATTCTGGCTGCTCTGGTAACCAGCAGCGGGGGCTCCCAACTGACTGCTAGGGCTCTCTCCCTAGCAGTTCCAGCCTTTAAAAGGAGCAGGACACCCTAGTGCCCTGTGACAAGTAGCCACATTATTTAGAGTGGTGCTGCATGCGAGAGTCCTGACCCTTTTCATTCCATATGCAAACCTCTAGACAATGTTCTTTTTTAATGTATAAAACTAATTTACCAAGTCACTTTTAAATATACAGTTTCTTTCCTTTCCAGGATTTTCAGGAGAAGGAAGAAAATCCGGGATCGTTCACTTGCTAGTCTGTTTAATCTCAGTGCCTCGCATTCATGGAGCAACAGCACAGTCCTTAGTGATATGGATTCTTCTTATATGGAAGAACCTTGGATTGATGGGTGCAGTAAACTAGATACCAGTCAGAGCTGTAACTATGGTAAGCGCTTGTTGTAAGTATAGTAATTATGTTCCTTGTTGGAACTTGTGATGGTATAGTCTGTTAATGTTAGGAACCTTGCAAGTCGGTAACTATTGTTACAGGATTGTGCAGGCGCTCTGCTTAGTTTAGCAATGCAAGGGGGCGGGAAATGTAACTTGAGTTTTGAATAGTAAATTGAACCAGTAGCAATAGAAGACAAAAATATCTTTCTCCACGAGGGTGAGACTTATTCAGTGTTGTTTTACCCATTTATCAATTGATGTTTCTACCTTAAATGTTTCATAGCCTTACTTTGTTCAATGTTATGCATTTTGTTTTCTTATTCTTCATATTTCCCCTGTATTTTTAAAAAATATATTGGGAATTCCAACTTCTAGCCATCAACCATTTGAGGAAACTCTTGTGATTGAGTGTTCTTACTTCCTTCAAAATCTAATACTGCAATTAGTTCTTTAAACCCTTTCCTTACAGTGAATCATAAACATTTACAGCTGCCTCTCTTATAGGTGACTCTGAATTTTCTCTCAGCTGCAATTCCTGGTTGCCAGAAAGGCAAACTCCAGCAGCTAAGGAACCCTCGCTCACTAAAGCTGAGACATACAGTCAGTCAAGGAAACAGTTTTATGATTCCTCTTCCTGCTCCCAGTTTATGGCAAATGATTTTGAAGAACCTTTGGTTTATTCAAGTGAGTTAAGTGTTTTCTTCATAATTTATTATTTTTAGAGACTGCTGACATTATTTTCAAATGAAAATGTGTAAGATAAGCTTTATTCAAGACTTAAAAGATTCCCAATTTTTTTTAAATCCATTTTTGATTCAATTTGAAAATTAAAACTTCCATTTTTCCTTTCATCCTCCTTTTCATCCCTTTTACCCCTCCATTTTAATAACAAAATGGAAAAATAATAGCAGGGAAAGGGGGGAATGGGAGAAAAGGCAAACAAAGATCAAAACAAGAAATTTAAAACAGCGGATTTTTGTAAAAAGTTTCAAACAAAAATCCATCCTTTATTAATCCCACTGAATGGCATTTAGTTTCAAATGTTCACTTGTAGCCACAAAAAACATTTACTGTTTTGAATAGACCTTATTATTTAATCATGGTAGGAATTCCTCAAAACAAGTAACAATATCATTCTCCAACATTAGTTTTCATTTTGTATACACAGATGTCAGATATGCTTTGGGCATATCTACACGTTGCCCTAAAGATGATGTTGCTATGGCGCTGTGCTCTAAAGCATAGAACAGGAACTGCCTGTACTGCGCCATGTGTGCAGCACACGATTAGATTTCACCACTATGTTGCCATAGTGGTGCGCTAAAATGGGGGAGCGCACCACTATGGTGCCGATCACATGTAGACCCACGTGATCACTGCTTTGCCATAGTGCACCATAATGCAGTGTTGGGTGACCTGTAGCCGTGACCCTTTATATGCATATCAGATAAGTAGATGACGTTAACTACATAATACCACACTAGTCCTATGTTGTTTATTGAACGTAAGAGCATAAGAAGTGTCGGGCTGGAGTAGATGAGTGGTTCATCTAATCCAGTATCCTGTCTCTGACAGTGGCAAAATTGGATGCTTTAGACAGGGAGAGCATTGGACTGGGTGTATCTGGAGTGACCTATCCCCTGTTCATTACCCTCCCTGACATCCACCAGCACTAGTTTAGAGGTGCCAGAAGATACATTTCTAACTGTTCTGTTTAATAGTTATTTAATAGATCTATCATCTATGAATTTGTTTAAACCCTCTTTTGAATCTGGCTGTTTTATCTGCCTCTACTACCTCCCAGGCAGTGTATTCCACAAGTTAACTACACATTACATAAAAAGTACTTTCTCCTGTTAGTTTTTAATCTGCCTCCTACTAATTTCAGTGGGTGCCCTTAGTTCTAGTATTTTGGGACTTGGTGAACAACAGTTCCATGTTCATTTGGTCCATACCCTTCATGATTTTATAGACCTCTATCATGTCCCTCTTTACTCTTTTTCTTTGTTAAATGAGAGTCTTCACCTTTTTTTAGTTTATTATGCTACAGCAGCTGTTCCATACCCCTGATCATTTTGATTGCCTTTCTTTGTACCTTTTCTGATGTTACTACATCTCTTTTGACATGCAGAGACCAGAACTGCATACAGTATTCAAGATGTGGGTGTACCATGAATTTGTATGCTGTAATAAATATAACATGGTACAGTTGTTACAATGCAACAAACACAAGTTGCTTGTATATCAGTTAAGTGCCTGGTCACTTAAATGCCTTGCATCGTTCAGTCCCACTGGGCACATCTACACAAGACTCTATGCCACCATAGCCACAAGCGATGTAGCTCACTGCTACAGCAAGGTAGTATTGGCAGCAGTGAATTGTGATACCGACGCTACTGCGCAGTAGCTCATTGCTGTTGCACAGTATGGTCAGAAACGATCCATGCACCACTGGGTAATTGTGGTTATTGCTCAGTCATTTAGTACTTTCAAGGAGCAAGTACTAAATGACAGTGCAGTAAAAACTGTGCAGTTGGGGGCACGTGTAAATGCACCCACTGTCTACTTTTTTTGACCTAGCTGCATTTAATTTAATTTCAGAATTCGTGAAACTGACTAGAAGCTGCCAATTTTAAGGATTTTTAGGCAACCTTGAAGTGACATAGTTTTGTCAGCTTCAAGGCTGTTATTATGCATGTTCTCGGGAACAAGGGGCATTTATCCACATACTTTTTTGTCCCGTGATGTGGTGGAGATCCACTGCTTTGGACCAGACTCGATTAATTGAGTCTGCTCTACATGTAAGCTGATGCACACTACGCTGCATTGTGTGCAGTTATATAAGCGGCAAAATGCATGTCAGTGTGTAGAAAGTGGCAGCAGCGTGCTTTTGAACTTAAGTACCTTCTATGTGTGTTAGCTCAAAAGCACGCTGCCACCATTTCCTCAGCACTGATGCACATTTCGCCACTTATACAACTGCAGCACTGGGCGCTTTTCAACACACCTGGTGCTGCAGTGCCTGCATGTATAAAAATGCCCAAGGAAATTAGTCTTAAGCAAGGTATAAAAGGTTTACAGGAAGCTTTTCTCCAAGTTAAGAAGTGTTTTTTACATTACATTTGTTTAAGCGAATAACCTTTTTTTCAGTCACAAGGCTATGCCTTTAAACAAAGTATGTTATAGGAGTCCTACCAGCTCCTTAGTTAAGGTTGTGTTCATATTTGCACTTAAAATTTAACATAAAGATTACATCTACTATAATGTAGGAACAGCATAGTATATCCTCCACAAATGCATGAAGCAGAAATCTTGGCCCTATTTTGGTCACTGACACGACTCCTCTTGATTTCAGTTAAGCAAATATTTCACTCTAATCCTAGAATATAAAAATATATTTTGACAATTTAGAAATATATTTGTGAATTTAACTGAGTAATAAACTTTTCTTGGATAGTCTAACAGATAAATGTCCAGATTTTGAGATTTATAAATGGATTTGTTTCTGGTTGTTGTGAAATCTAAACATTTTGTTTTCAAGCACATCTATTATTTTGGAATTATGAGTATTATTTATAACCATTCTTACATACATTATGCTTATTGTCACATTTGTTCAATTGAGGAAGATATAGTGGAACAATTCAGTTTTCCCCAGCACTTGGAAGGAAGTTATAATTGAATAGATGTAGCAGAGTTAAGAGCTTTCAAAGAAAATGAATTTGAATGCATTGGCTAATGTACCTACATAAAGTATAGCATTTTTTTTCAGCTAGCGGGTTTGACTTAACCCCAGTTGAATGGCAGAAACTCCTATTGACCCTCCCCAATTGAAGTCAGTGCAGAAACTCCTATTACCCCATGGTGAATGTTATGTTAGAGTTGAATGAAGCATCGTTTCCCTAATAAGCACTCTTTCTTATCTGAATTTCTAGTTTGCAACATCAAAGGAGTGACAAAACTATGTTTTAACTCACATGTCCAGAAATGGCAGTTGTCCTGATTTTGTTTTTTTTTATTGTTTTTTCCTTAGAATCCAATACATTGAAAAATGTGTTTTATCAAATAATTATGCTGTCCATGTGTTTAATCATCTCCATTTGTGCCAGGTAATTTTGATTTTATTTTCTTTAAAATAATATTTGTTGTTTGTGAGCTGGTGCATAAAGCATAATATTTGAAGCTAGATTTTCAGTCGGGTATACATATTTGTGACTGCTTATGCAAATAAATATTACTGTGTGCAAATTAGATATTAGGATGCAGCTATGACATCTGATTGGCTCTGTACAAATGTATGATTCACATGCACATATCAGGTATTAGCAGGTATGAATTAAAGGCTCAACTATGTATTTCAAGCTATACGCCTTAACCGTCCATGTCTTGCCCATGTGCTATGCAATTAATTAAATAGGAAATACCATTTTTATGTATCCATTTAAAGTTTCAGTGCTTTAAACTACAGGGGTGTAGGTTGTAGCCGGGTTGGTCTAAGAACATAGGTAGACAAGTTTCTTTGGGTGAATCTGATATCTTTTATTAGACCAACTTAAGTAGTTGGGGAAAAAAAAATTTTAAGCAAGCTTTCAGGTTCAAAAACCTTTGTCAGGCTGAGCAAGTTTCTGCAGTTGGTGTGTGCTCTTCCTGGATAGAGTGAAAAGTTTAAGATCCAGAAAGAAGCCAGAGGCTGAGCTGGTGTGCGTACAAGCTCGGCAGTCAGTGAAGATGCAGATTGAGGAGTCAATGAGTGAGAGACAGTCTGGGTGGGGGGGGAGAGAAGTGGGAACCAGTGCTTGAAATTGTAATATATCTCTTTCAGATAAACTTCTATAAGAAATTATCCTCTCAGATTCAACTGAATTACATCATTAAATCTGCTTTAACCATTTATTTGAGGTTAGGCAATTCAAATACAATTGAGAAGTCTGATTTCATTAACCTAATTACAAAAGTTAGAGGGCAAGGAACAGGAAGACAAAAGTTATATTTGAGGGTATTAACACACATAGTACAGAACTGACTTCCTTTAACTTGCTATATAGTCAAAGACTTCACCTAACCACATTTGTGTTTCTAATCTATCCACAAGACAACTAAAAGTTCTTGCCTCCTCTGTTCTTTAGTGCTAAAATGCTGTTTGTTTAATTCAGTTTTTTTTACTCCTTTTATTATTATAGGTGGAACACAGAACCATAGTTATAGTTAATGATGTCAAAGATTTGGGTCCGTGGGCCACATAGGCAGTTTAGGGGAGCTGCCACGGGCTGGTCAGCACCGTCCCCCCAACCCACCACCACACACACACACACACACACACACACACACACACACACACGAGCCTGTGCACCCTGCAGCTCCTCCCTGCCACTGCCAACAGTGCACAGTCCCAGCCCTGAGCCCAGCCTGCCCCACACCCCCTCTGGACTAGCCCACCCACACTGAGCAGTGGCAGTGGTAGCCAGAAGCTGCTGCTCAGTGTGGGGGCAAAGCAGGCCCTTCCTCTCACCACTGCCAGGCTCTTGTTGCAGCTGCCCAGGGCCCACACCCAAGCTGCCCTGCGGCTCCTCTGCACTGCCACCACTGCCCCACTGGATGGTCTGGAGGCAGCGGTGGTAGTGTTGGAGAGGAGCCTCAGGGTAGCCCAAGCACAGGCTCTGGGTGGGTGCAGCAAGAAGGGCCTGGCAGTGCTGAGCAGGAGGGCCTGCTTTTCCCCCATGATGAGCAGCAGCTTCTGCCCAGCCACTGCCACTGCTCAGTGTCAGTGGGCAACTCCGGAGCAGGCACAGGCCAAGCCGGGTTCAGGGCTGTAAGTACAGGTTCTGGCTGGTCCATTTGGCCAAGGCAAGTCCGGAGTGGGTGTGGGGGTCAGGGCTGGGGCTGTGTGCTGTTAGCAGTGGTGGGGAGAAGCCACAGGGTGCATGGGCTCTGGCCTGTGTGTGGGAGACGGATGCTGATCAGTCCGTGACAGTTCCCCCAAACTACTTATGTGGCCAACAGGCCCAAATAATTGCCTGCCCAAATCCACAAGGATCAGAACAATGAGAGAGCTGGGTCCCCGGCTGCTGGTACTCAGTTACTGACTACCGGGAAAGATCTTTTCTTCTTCATTTTGCCTTTCAAGAAGAAGGTGCATATTATATTCTGGGGTGTGTTGCATGCAAGAAAATATGGTAATTTTTTTGTAAGGCATGTTACCAATTCTGATTCACTGAAGGCTTGTCCCGGAGATGTGGGTAGTGCATGGTGTAGCAAGCAGTGGTACCAGCATCTTGGCCCTGCAGCTCTGATGACTGGTGTGGGGTCAGTCCACAGGCTGGATCCCAAAATTTGGGTCAGTGCCTGGAGGTGGTCCACTGGTGGGATCCAGCATGCTGTTCTGACCCTGCATGCCAACCCAACCCAGTGTGTTGGTCTGGAACAACATGCCTGAATCTAGCTATGGACCAACTCCACGTGTTAGCTTGATTTAGTGCGCAAGGTCACATTATCTGGCCCATGAGGCTCCCTATGGGTCCAGAAATTTGGCAGCAGGAGAGGGGGAATTAATGCTGCCACCATTCCCCTGCTGCCAAATTTCCCCAGCCAGGGGGCGCTCCGTGGGCTAGGTGACACAGCTCCACGGCCTGGATCTGGCCCTCAGGCTGGAGGCCGAGCACCACTCCACCAATGCATTGGCCCAGTATCTGCATATTGTATTTTCTAAATATTAAGGTTATTGTTATGGCTTCAGATGCTTCCTGGGAGGAGTCTTTGTCCATCTGCTGACCTTTTTGCTGCTGATAATTTTATTTTGTAAGTACAGACTTTCTTTATACCTCAAATAATATTTTACTGGATTCAAGGGCTGAATTCTGTCTTTAGACATGCATGTGCTAGCTGATCTAAGCTTTGCCCTCTGATGCCATAAGTTGGCCTTTAGTCAGTCACTGGATCTTAAATTTAAAATGCACTGTTCTTTTGCCCCAAAGATGCTGCCATGTCATCTGTTTTCAGGCTTGTCGTGTCTTTCAAAACCACCAAATTGTGGTAAGTTGTGCAAAAACTTTGCAAAATGCTGATGAATTCTTGTTTAAGAGGAAGAAAGGAGTCTGTTATTATTCCTTCTTGGCAAAGGGTGACAATGCAAGATCTGCAAACAGGGGCGAGCTGTTTTTGTAGCTGCTTTGTGTGTATACAAACTTTTCGTTTTTCTGTGTACTGCCATCTTATACTTTAGGGGCTGCTCCCAAACAACCCACCTTTGGGCTAAAAAAGTCAAAGGCAGACAGCTGCAATGTTAGTCTCTCTCTCTCACCCTGCAATCACCTACCCTGGAAATCTTCAAGAGGAGACTGGACAGTCACCTTGCTGGGGTCACCTGACCCCAGTAGTCTTTCCTGCCTAGTGCAGGGGGTCTGGACTCAATGAACTTGCAAGGTCCCTTCCAGTCCCTAACAGCCTATGAATCTTGTTTGGCGTTGGCTACAAAAATGGCAGTAGCATAATAGAGCAGAACAAGTGAGCCACCAGTCCCAGCACTGACTGTGAGGGGGTGGCAGAATCTCCACCCCACCCCCCTGGCATCTTTACTACTGCCTGGCCATCGGAACAGCCTTGCACCCAGCAGTGCATCTGGGGAGGTGGGAGGTAAGTGGAATGGCGATTTCTACCCTCGCCTCCCAGAAGTTTTTCTCACAGCAGATGCAGCCCTGTGCCCAGCAGCATGTCTGAGGAGGGAGCGGGGAGCAAACGGGGTTCCAATGGTGGCTGCCATGGGAGCCTGGGCCAAGGGACTGCTGTGCTGGACTCTCTCTCGCCACTGCTGCTGTCTGCACAGGGAAGGCAACATCAGCTCCAGCAACAGCAGTGGCAGCAGTAGCTGAATTCTCTGTACAAAGAGCCCAAGCAAGTAAGACTTCCCTGTCCCTCACTGACCACCCCCTCGCCATCCCCAGTGGTCAGCATACCACTCCCTCTCACCCTGTCCAACCTGGATGCTAAATGAGCTTGCTACACCTCTGGAAATGGGCCTGTCTTAACTGTGCAGGCCAACATGGCAGCTAGGCTTGGGACAGCGCTTTGCTTTGACTGAATACTGTAGTCTGACAGGTCAGAATGAATGGCATGGAAAGGAGCAGTACACTGGCTTGATGACCTAAGCGTACAGACAGATACAACAGTTGTATTGATGTCCAGTGGTAGAGCAACAAGCTGTTATGATATAACTTACATCTACTTGTTCCTATGGAGAGACCAGCGTAGTAAAACCATTGTCATTTTAACCTGGCTTCATTCATAGCAGATGTAAGAGTTACATAATAAGAGCTATTGCCTGCTTCCAAGCTGCAAAACCCCCCTGCTCTTCACTTTTAAAGCAGTTAACATTTAAACCTGTCCTTAGCTTGAATAAAGACAATGATTCTGCTAGACCAAAGGAAGGGTGTGTGTTTTTCATGAATAAAGCTCCATGGATGTAGCTTCTGAATACGAATATGATAAGAAATGTCTGAATGACAGATTTAGGCCCCAAACCTGCAGTGCTGTGTAGATCTGTAGGTTAATTGTGACTCATTCAAGTTCAGGTGCAGACAGAAGTGCATTTCCCTGGTGTAACTCATGGCACTTCCTGTGAACTGCCATGAGTTAGGCTGACTCTCCTGACACAACAGACATTAGCTGGGGGATTGAGCTAATTTGGAGCCAATCCAGCAAGAGAGGCTGCTGGTTTGCAGCTTCTTACCCTAGCTTTGCCCTTCCCCTCTCCACAGCCCAAGGTACAGGGCTCCAATCCACCCTCCTCCCTCCAGCACATTTGGGAACAACCCAGAATGGACCTACCTCCCTTGCTTTCTCCCCTTCCCATCCTGAGACAGCACCGGGGGCAGGGCAGGGCTGGGCTGCAGCAGCCCAGCCACTGGAACAGACACAAGTTAATGAAGTCACACTGCCTTGGAGTGCCTTCATTTGAACCCTCATATAACGAGACTGTAAAAAGATGTCTTATTTGAGGTGATCCTGATCATCCCAGGTTTGTTTCACAATTGGAGTGCTCTGCAGCTATGCTCTTCTGTTAGGGCACAGCTGTAGAGCATGTTCAAGGGGCTGATCATGCAACAAATGTAATTTCTTTGTGAGCCTTTAGTTGTGAGTCATTCTAGATACAAGCCTTTCAGGCTGTGTGCTCTAGCACCCAGAGGGGCAGCACTGCACCTTGGAAGAGCTATGTGTGTAAAAGGCTGTGCTGCTCATGCTTTGATCTGAGTTAAAACCTGGGATGATCAGGATCACCTCAAATAAGACATCTTTTTCCAGCCGAAAACTCTTAATAGGTGCTGCTGAAATTAAAAGTATTTGGGACCTTCTGGATTTTTGTGTCTGGCAAAAGAGAGGATCAAAAGGGCAATGTTTCCTTTTTTAAATCTGGGGAAGGCTCTCAATAGTGCCATGTAACATGAGGCACCAGGCAAAAATTTTACCTGTTGTAGCAAAAATACATTATGCTTGAAATTACAGAAGTGAAAATTGAGACAAGATTGAAGAGGAGAGTTGAAATATTTTGGGAGTTCAGACTCTTCTCAAGTCTGGTAACTGGGGCATACAATAAACATGTAGGACAGAGTATGCCATTCCTCCACACGCCGAATAAGTAGAAATCCCATTAAACCCAACGACACATGGGCAGTCAGTATACAGTAAGATGGGTGGTAAATTTCCAGCTCACTAGTCTGCGTTAAATTTCCCATGTAATCAAACCCTGAATCATGAATAAATTTGGCATATGAGGGAAGAAATAAAATTTCAATGGCTTCCAGTGAAATTCTTCAGCTTACTGCATACCACTGAAGTTCCAGAGCCTGCTTATTTTACCTTAATTCATGCAGGATGTATCTACACATGCAGTTAGCATGTAGCAATACATTCCAGGCAGTTCATGCCAGAGTTTATTGTTCCTGGGTACTGCATTTACATGTGTGCCCAGGACTGTAGCACGTTGAGCCGGGATGGAGCAGCCCTGGCTGGCAGAGAGCGCTGAGGGTCAGCCTGCCAGCCCGGGGCTGCTCTGACCCAGGTCAATGTGCTGCAGAGGGGCTGGGGCAGGAGGGAGCTACAGTGTGAGGCTCTTTGGCAGGTAGCCCCCACACTGTGGCACCCTCATGCCCTGCCACTATCTACATTAAGAGGTTGTGACTTGGATAATTACACAGTCCGGTGGGTGGCAAATTGGCTAGAGGATCATACCCAGAGAGTGGTGGTGGACAGAGCGGTATCGACCTGGAAGGACGTGGGCAGTGGGGTCCCGCAAGGCTCAGTTCTTGGACTGATACTCTTCAATGTCTTCATCAATGTCAGACTGCAGTTGGATTACTGTGTGCAGTTTTGGGCACCACACTTCAAAAGGGATGTGGATAACCTGGAGAGGGTCCAGAGAAGGGCCACTCGTATGGTTAAGGGCTTGCAGGCCAAGCCCTATGCGGAGAGACTAAGGCACCTGGACCTCTTCAGCCTCCGCAAGAGAAGGTTGAGAGGTGACCTTGTGGCTGCCTATAAATTCATCATGGGGGCACAGAAGGGAATTGGTGAGGCTCTGCTCACCAAGGTACCGCTGGGGGTTACAAGAAATAATGGCCATAAGCTAGCAGAGAGCAGATTTAGACTGGACATTAGGAGGAACTTCTTCACAGTTAGAGTGGCCAAGGTCTGGAATGGGCTCCCAAGGGAGGTGGTGCTCTCCCCTACCCTGGGAGTCTTCAAGAGGAGGTTGGATGGGCATCTGGCTGGGGTCATCTGGACCTAGCACTCTTTCCTGCCTATGCAGGGGGTTGGACTCAATGATCTATTGAGGTCCCTTCTGACCCTAACATCTATGAATCTATACACCTGCATTTTGCTGCACTGCTGTAACACTGTAAGATAGTACTTGTGTTGGACAGTACTATCCTAGAGCAGAGGATAGTACTGTCCAGACATACTGTAGTACTATGTAGCCTGTCCAGACATACTGTAGCCTAATAGTGCCACACGTGTAGACAGTGATGCTTACTGACTAATTAGCTCCGCAGTAGAAGTGTCTTGTGTAGATGCATCTGCTGAGAAGTACTTTACTCTGCCAAGTAGCTCTGTGGCATTGAATCGGGCTACTTGTATGAATAAGGTTCTCTTTAACAAAAGTAAAGGTGACAGAATGTAAGTCTGTATTTATATTGGTTATCTCAAAGAACAGTTTCAATAAGAACAGAATAAAAACAGACACTTTAATTTTGAAATTGTTTTGCAGGAAATAATTGACAGAATGAACTGGTAAGTAGAATGCTTAGTTTTGCATAAAGAAATATGACCAATTCCATAAAGCCTTATGGGATTAGGGGAAAAGGAATACTCCAGAGAAAAGTTCTGACAACATAAAAAAAATCTCCAGCCTGATCACCTGATTCTAATTAGATCTACTCATTACTGGAATAGGGGGCCTTCCAAAAAAAGCCCATAGATTCTTGGGAAATGTTAGGGTGAGTCAGTAGGCCTCCTTCTTTTAGTTAGCATTGTATTTATGTGTTAAGGAGGGTGTTGTCTTTATTGATAAGCTGTATAACCAATGTTTCATCCACTTGTGCTGAAAAGATCCTGTGAAATCCTTTGCGAGAAATGGGGTTTAAGCCTGATATTTCAGTTAAAATTATTAATTTAAATTATTAAATTCATTAATTTTTTTCATATGATTTAGCAAAACCTGTAGAAAAATATACCTGAATCCCAGTCATCAGGTTTATAACCTGCTTCATCAGAAATTAGATTGCAAAAAGCTTGCCCCTTGCTTTTCCTAGAAACTTGAAAGCACATTAGTCATTTATGTACTTTTCAGTATCATTTAATTAACAATATTTATTTTCCCTGTTCCCTAAATCTAGGTTTGCTAGCACTTATGCATTATATAGCTGGTTATCATCTTTCATCTGTCTCTGCAAAATTCAGCAGAATCATCAGTATCCTTTTCCTGACTAACACAATATTTGAACTATGTTTTGATCCATTCATTGATTTGTGTAAGATCATCCTTCTTAGCAGAGTGCCTGCACCTGATCTTGCAAATTGAACCATGAAGGCCAAATTCACAGCTCCTGCAGAGTACTATTTGTCAGTGGGGCCCTGTTGAGCCATAGGGGTCTACCCAAGCTTTTAGCTTGCAGTATCTGGGACCTTTGCAAGTACACATATATAAGTAGGCAAATGATTATCAATCCCTGCAAATCCATTTTTTGTTAATGTCTAAACAGAGTTTGCCAGCTTTGTTTCTCTCTCCATACTACTTGTGTTAAAGTTTTATCATAATTTGAGGTCAAAGGCTACAAACAAACATCACATTTATCCTGGATTTACTATTGCATCCTGGGACAAAATGCAAGCTTACAGATGTCCATGTTGTTTATCCCAGGATAAATCCTAAAAGAGTTTCCTGGATAAAAGGTAGGGACAGTTTATCCTGGGATATTGCAGAGTATGTCTGTATAGTTATCCAAGGATAGTGTCATTTAATCTATGGAAGAAAAATGACTCAGCATTCAGCTGCTCACTAAACCCTGATCAGAAGTATGATGTGTATACACACAAATATCAGAACATTTTTCTGCTGTGATAAACACAAGCAGAGGCAGTGCCGGATTATGACACGCTGATGGCCCAAACTATGTGCAATTTAAGAGGGCCCATACAATAAAAATAATCCACGAAATCGGATTTTCATGAAATTTTAAAATGAATTATTGTTATTTCTGTACAAATGTATGAACTCAATATGAATAATAACTGTGGAGCCAGATATATGTATATTTTTGTCATATTAGAATGAAAATGTCCAGGTTTTTTTGTTCTTATTTAGAGGCCCCTCATATCGTGAGGCCCTGAGCTGTAGCTTAAGTAGCTTAAGCCAAAATCTGACCCTGAGCACAGGGATAAATGCACTGTCCATTCCCAGGCTACGTGATTTAAACTCTGATAATGGTTCTGGATAGTGCTGAGTTAACAGATATACTTAAATTTCTTCATTGTATCATTTTTGTAAGAGCCTTTTGGTTTTTGTTTCTTTTAAATTTTCTCTTCCTACTTTTGAAGACACAAAAAGAGGGATTGAAAAACACAAGAAAGGATACAATTTGACTGTGCCAGAAGAGTGCTTCCTGTTGGCAGAAACCAGAAGGGTAACTTTCAGGAAAGCCAGACATCAGAGGGTTGGAAGAGTAATTGAGGAGGCCAGAAGCCACTGGATTTAAGGTCCAAATAATTCTGCAGCCATAATCTTTACCATGGGCACCTGGTGCCTTCCAAGTCTGTGAGGACACCAGATTGCCAACAGGGCGGGGAGGGGGTGGTCCCCCAGCGGCTGATCACCAAGCCAGCAGCAAAACCGGAAGTGCACGGGTGATCTCAGGGGGCGCACATGCACCCGCGTGCACCCCCTACATGTTGCCAGGGACCTTTACTTTTAAAACACTGAGCCCTGCTTTCCCGGTTGGATGTATGGAACTGCAGAGATGCTAAACATGAGTCCTTTTCCGTTACCAGCAGCTGGGAATGCTCAGATCACAAATATTAGTTAGCACAGTATAGACCTTCATTTCCTTACGTGATGTTACTGTCTACAAGCTCCCTTTACAACCCTGCTTGTCTTCCGTTGTGCTGAAAGTGCCATCATAGTATAATTAAGAGGGAGGGGGACAAGCAGGGTACCAGCCTTGGATGCCAACTTTCAGGGGGCACAAAAGTAACAGCTGCTCCTATTACTGGCCTCCCCCATGCACTGCCCAGCTGCACCTCTGATGGAAAGCCACAGCTACTTGTGGAGGGGCCAGTTCTTCAGGCAGGATGCAAATAGGCTGGCAAATATAGAGGAAAGATTTTCAAATCTTTGAAAAAATAAGAGGAAGTTCTGATGCAAGAAGGAGCAAGGAATAATGAAGCACTGTTAGTTGTCCATATTTTTACTGTAATCTACAGATATGGCCAATCTCAGGCAGGATGCATGTCTCTGTGAGACAGAAAATTCCTGAGGGTGGAAGGAAAAGCGTGGGGGAAGGAGCTGGAAGTATTTCATGTAAACAGGCTCACCTTTAAGGGACAAATACCTTTCTGGTTCTTTAACAGTTACACTCAAGCAGGGGCAAGCCCAACCACAATTCCCATTGTGAGCAGCAACATGCTGCTGGTGAATGTGTAAAATACTGATATCTGTTGATTAAAATAGGCCAGGAAGTTTTAGTAAGTAAAAGAAGACAACAGGGCGTGCCTCAGGCACAGAATCCTAAAATAAAGGGAAAGTGCATTATGATAGTAGTAATAATAATAATAGTAATAATAAAATTTGCACAAAGCTCAATATTTTTCTAGTGGTGAACTTGAGTAATTCCCTGAATATGAAATTACCTTTTTTATTTGTTTTTAACTTTTTTGAGTACTAAAATGGATATATTACTGTGTGATATTTATATTTGTTGTATATGACTTACGTTATGCTTTATGTTTTTAAGTGCACTTTATAGCTTAACAGGGCACATTTCTTTTTATTGCTAAAAAATGTCTAGAAAAGCTAACTAAGGGAAAGAAGGGTCTGTCCTGAGAGAGGAGATCAAAAGTATATCTTTACCACATCTACAAAATTCCTATGATCATCACTCAGAAATAAATCCTGGCCATTTGCTTCTGCTCAGCATGCATCTCACACTGAAACATTTTAAATAGACACTGGTGTCAGAAGCACCTCTGAGACAGAGACCATGAGAGGGTCCCTGGGTTTGCACCAAAAAGCAACTATGCGATATTTTTGGAAGGACAGGCTTATTTCTTGGCCACGTTCTGAGGATCTTGGCCACAGGGGCGGCATAGACAAACCCACAAAGAGCATGCATGGCTTGTTAAGCCTATTGGAACAAAAGCCGTGAGCGTATATAGTGTTCTCTTCAAATACAATGGGGAAAGACAGAGAAACACCAGGGAGGAAGAAGAGTTATTTACTTTAAAGGACAATGTTGGTATGAGCATAGGCGCAGAACATAAGGGCTCAAGCACCCATGGAAAAAAATTAGCAGGTGCTCAGCACCCATGAGCCACATTGGGCAAGCTGGGTTGAAATAACGCACTGCCTGTTCTGGGCATGTGCAGGGCTCTGTGTATGAATGCCAAAAAGAAAAGCACCCACTGGCAAAAATCAAAGTTGGTGCCGATAGGTATAAAGACAAATGGGTATAAATTGCTCATGAATTAATGTAAGATGGAAATTTTAAAAAAGTTTCCAACCAATGGGGATTGAGGGGGAGGTTCTGGAGCAATTTTCTAAGAGGATTAATGAGAAAAATGTAAGTGGTTTTAAGATTTCATAGATTTCATAGACATTAGGGCTGGAAGGGACCTCGGAAGATCATTGAGTCCAACCCCCTGCCCCAGGGGCAGGAAGCCAGCAGGGGTCATAGGATCCCAGCAAGATAAGCATCCAATTTACTCTTGAAGGCATTTAATATAGGTGCTTGAACCACCTCTGGTGGCAGGGTGTTCCAGACCTCGGGGGCTCGGACAGTAAAGAAATTCTTCCTTATGTCCAGCCTGAAACTGTCTTGGAGGAGTTTATGACTGTTCAGCTTTGTCATCCCTTGGGGCGCTCTGGTGAACAGACGTTCCCTCAGATCCTGGTGAGCACCCCTGATAAACTTGTAGGTGGCCACCAGATCACCCTGAGCCTGCGCTTTTCCAGGCTGAAGAGTCCCATGGCTCTCAGCCTCTCATCATAAGGTCTGTTTTCTTGCCCTCTGATCATGCGCATGGCTCTTCTCTGCACCCTCTCAAGCTTCTCCACATCCTTTTTGAATTGTGGAGCCCCAAACTGGATGCAGTACTGATGGTGTGTGTCTCCATTAAGATCTTAAGGTGGAGTTTGGTACATTTTATTAACAGGATTATTTTCTGTAGTTGCCTGCAATAGCAAGCCAACTGCATTAGGTGTCGCAGGAGGCCCCCATAATCCTATATCCCTATGAAACTATAATTCACTTTGTATTGCTTTGCTGTATTGTATTGGAATGAAATACAATATTATGTCATATTTAATCAAGTGGGATGCAAGACTAAAACTAACATTGTCTAACCTAGATGCCTAAATCCACAGATAGGCTTCTAAATATAAGCAGACCAACTTTCAAAGGTGCTAAGCATCTGCAGCTTTCATCCAGAGGATATTCAAGTGTAGGGGGATTTTTAACAGTAATCCTAGTGAACTAAAAATCATTTTTTAGTTGACTGCTGGTTAGTGACTCATGTACTCTGAGATGCCTACTGTAATCTTATGTTTCTACCCCCTGTACCCTGGAGGTTGGACTAGATGATCTTTGAGATCCCTTCCAACACTATAATTCTGTGGTTCCACTTCCACTAATTAAATTTTACTGTATAACATAAGTTTTAATTTATAAAAGTATTTAAAAACAAACCTAAAAGGAATTTTTAAGATGCACGTAACAAGAAACTTATGACAAGTTGTCACTGTTGAAATCCTTGATCACCATGTCCCTTCCTATATTGTTATTCCTCGTTCCATATAATTTAATTTCAGGCTCAAGCCTGCAGATTCTTGACAGTGCACACAGTTCTTCCCATTCTTGATGCAGCACATATCTCTGACGAAAGGAAAAGGTATTTTTTTCTATCTGCAAGGCACCATACATACCAATGGAACTGTATAGATAACAGTAGCTCACAGAACGTAATGGAGCAGTACATTCTATACCAGTACATAAAACAGGTCTATATTTGGGGTCTGGATCCTTTCATGTACATCTTTTATAAATGTTTATATATTTTAAGTTAAAATGAGAGTAGTCATTATTTCCTCTAGTGCAGCTATGGATAGAGAAACTTGCTAAGAATTGTTCATGTCTTGGTATAGTTTGCTTGTTATTTGCTTGCTATGTCTTATTTAGATTGTAAGGTCCTTGGGGCAGGAACTGTTGTTTATTACCTGTTTGTACAGCACCTAGCACAAGACAGCCTGCCTTGGTCGAGGCTGATGGGCATTACTGCAATGGAAACTTTGAAGAAGAGTGATGGGCTGTAAAGGGAATTAATGAGAAAACATTCAGCTCCTGAGCTGCCAGTTTCCACTAGCTGAGTTTCTACCGTACAGCAGTTTAGCAACTGAGGATTGCTAATACACGTCAAATGCTGTAGGGCTTGATGTCATCATCCTTCCTCATATGAATGTTATCATGATGGACTATAATAATATATAATGTATTCAGAATACTTCTAATGGAGTGTACTGATAATGCTATAAAGCTTATTTTCTCATGCTGAAGACCAGTACCTTTATATTGCACGTTCACATATTTTAGTAAATAAACATTAATGTTTTAAAGGAGAATGGTGAATTGACTCAACAGGCACCTGCTTCCTATAAGCAACTGCATGATCATATTGTTGCATCACTCTCTCTACTCCTTTTTCCCAGTCCCTTTTCTACTGTGTGTCGTGCTGCATGTTGTAACTTCCCTGATTTTTAGACTGTCAAATCTTAAACAGTGAGAACAGTGCTGTTCTAAGTCACCTCTGCAGATCCCCGTGAAGTTTAGGGTGTTACATAATATTAAACGAAACAAAATCGATTTTTTGCATATTTTAAAAGCAATAAACTCTCTATAAGAAAATAAGTTTATTACAAGAATATATACTATATTCTTCCTGTAAATTACACTATGTTTTATTATTCTTATTGTTACACTAATGTCTTGAGGCCTTATTCA